CATCCGCGGCCCCCATTAGCCTGTTAGCCCGTAAGCACGCATCGTGAAATACTCCTATGTCGGGTCAGTCATATCTCAAGGCACCGCATTATTTAAAATGAAAACTCAGATTATGTAATTCAGCGGAAGCTCCAAAGTCGAACGTCTGTAAAACACGTTCAATTTGGTATTCGATCAAAATGTTGTATGGGAAAGTTTATGCCTCAAAAGTGAGTGCCTTTGTTCCGTCAGTGGCTATTTGGAGCAATTGTGATTTCCTTTTTTAGATTTAGTCCATTTCGACAGGAGAGCGCGCAGTGAGCTAACTAGCTAAATGCATCTTCCCTAGATGCCACCGTTTACAGAACATCTCACTGTCCTTATTTATATTCCCAGGTGTTCCAATATCGATTTTGTTTATCAGGCTACTACGGTATATGTTGGAACGAAAAGCATTGTGGGTATACCAATAGTAGGAAGCCTGTGCCGAAATTTCTGTCCTGTAGGAATTGAGTGCCTTTGTTCCGTCAGTGGCTATTTGGAGCAATTGTGATTTCCTTTTTTAGATTTAGCCCATTTCGACAGGAGAGCGCGCAGTGAGCTAACTCGCTAAATGCATCTTCCCTAGATGTCACCATTTACAGACCATCTCACTGTCCTTATTTATATTCCCAGGTGTTCCAATATCGATTTTGTTTATCAGGCTACTACGGTATATGTTGGAACGCAAAGCATTGTGGGTATACCAATCGTAGGAAGCCTGTGCTGAAATATCTGTCCTGTAGTGTGAGCCACAGGCTGAATAATGCGTGCTGCTGTATTTACTAAAAAGTAAATCCCAGAAGTGTATGTGTTATGTGGATCTACGCATCGACAAAACAACATCCGCGGCCCCCATTAGCCTGTTAGCCCGTAAGCACGCATCGTGAAACACTCATATGTCAGGTCGGTCATATCTCAAGGCACCGCATTATTTAAAAAGAAAACGCAGATTATGTAATTCAGCGGAAGCTCCAAAGTCGAACGTCTGTAAAACACGTTCAATTTGGTATTCGATCAAAATGTTGTATGGGAAAGTTTATGCCTCAAAAGTCAACCAACTAGAAGCCTGACTTGAAGGTAGTTCCTGACGGAATGTTGTTGCTCCCCAAGTGCCTTCAGGCTCAAATGAAAGAAAACGCATCGAGTAAAAAGTCTTCAATGTGATCACATTTTTCTTAATGAACCGGATTTCATTTGTATTGAGCCGCTCTTCCAACTCTCCAAGGCTGTCGTTTATGTGTTGCTAATCGCATTGTCAGCAAGGACAATCAATCAGCTCATCAATGGTGTTGTGCATATGTTCCGCTTGAGATTACAGTATTACATTTTCTTCATATGTCCATTCATCACCCTCCTCAAACTCGCGTCCAGTCCAGCACGGTGCAGTCCACCAGCTGTGTCCGGCAGATGTTCGAGTCGCCGAGTGTTTACATGCCAGCACCCCACCCGTCGACGCAGGTGTGCACATTTTGATGCAGCAGCTGCGTGTTTAAATACAGACAGATGTTGAAGCAATAGCAGGTTGGTGGTTTAGGGAGCTAAGCAGCCACACAGACAGTCAACTGGGAGAGCCGAGATTAATAAAGATGTAAAATGAAAGAGGCGAGCTGCTCGTTTTCTACAAGTGGGCCCTGTGGACTCGGCGAGGAGGGAAGGGCGGGGAGGAGGGTGGTGGTGTTCCAGGTGTGGTTGTACAGGGAGCGCACTGGCTGCCAAGGTTTACAGACAGCTTACTTCATTACAGCACACATTCATCACAGGGAGACTTACTCTTGAACGCCTTCCAAGATCACGTTACTTGGAGGTGGATTAGCTTTTTACAGCCATGCAAACACTTGATGAGTTACTGCAAAATGTAATGACAGCCCGTATTACTGTGCTTAGGGCTTGTGGTGTTGTCCGACCGCACTGCATCACATTGACGGATGCTCCTTGCCACTGCAAAGCCACAACTACGATAATAAGCTGAGTGGTGAATGAAGACGTCTGAAGCACGGGCAGTCAAAATGGAGTATGATTATCTTTGTGAAAGGCGCATTGTTGTTTTGGATCGCTTTGATCCTGAAGATCATGCGTCGTGTTTCCAAAATATTCAAAAGTTGAGTTTCACAAGTACTGTACTACTAACTTGATGAATGTATTATTGTTTTGACTATTCTTGTTCAGTGTAATCCTAAATACTGCTTGTAATAGTTTAAATCTATGGACAAGTCCACTTGAATGTGGTGCAACTTCCTCCCTCACTTTTACTGCTTTTAGAGAGCATTTCACATTTTATTCCTTATTTGTCAGTGACGGTTATGCACAAGATTCCTACACAGCGTAAAGAGGAGGAGTACATAATTGTAAATATCTCTGACGGTATACAATTGTTACTGGTGGCATTTACACAAAAGAGTACAATAGTCAGTACATTTCCGCAAATGGTATGACTAAAGTGCTACGTCCTTATAAAATCAATCGGATGCAAATGGAGCTGATATATGTTTTGTCTCTTGTATGTTTCATTTAAAAGCGCACGTACAACCTCATTATGGCCTCATGACACTCACCATACCTCTGCTGCTCAATGCTATTATTTAGCAGATGCTTATCAGCTTCATGATGACACACCAGCTGTGCTTGTGCACCATATTAGCAGGCTATTCCGGGGAAGCCGGAGAAAAAAAAAAGAAGAAAATATTCGCTGTTGGCTTAACGAAATGCCGTTTACATTTCTCTCTCCTTTTTTTTTTTTTTTTTTTTTTTTTAATAAGACAACACAAACGCGTGGAGATGTAGTATTAATGGCGAGATGGGTGTTTTAAGTGGAAAAAAGTGCTTGTCATTTTAATGGCTGACTAGTAATTATCAACTGCTTTTGTCACATGATCAGGGCAGAAGCATCAAGATTCTAAATTTAACTTCTTGGAGGGATAAGAACAAGACGATGGCCTTGACATTAAAGGGGAAGTCAAATCCTTCTTTACAATATTTTCTTGCGTCCCCACTCTTGCTAAGTTATTTTTTTCTTTCTTTTTTTTTTGTGTAGCAGAGGAGCATATATGACCCAAATGGACATACTCTATATCCCCCTGGCAGTGATATTTTTTTCTCAAAAATTAACAATTGATGTCATGTATCAGTCAATACTTTCCATGAAGTCTTAAATCCGTCAAATTCAAGGAGGCGATGCAGTTTCCAGAAAGAAAATCTTCATATATTAAATCAGTTAAAATGATGTATGGTTCTGTACAATTGAGTCTTATTAGTTAAACACAATACCATTTTCTTTGCTTTCTGTGTGCGTGCGTCATTGTGCTGTTAACGTTGTGGTACTTCTCTCCTCATCCTCCCACGGTGTCCATAAATCCAAAAGCGGAATCACAGTCCTGGTTAGAGATGATTAAAGATGGAAGACCAGTGAGAAAGAAGAGCCAAATGACAGCTCAGCTATGTTACGTCTAGATGGATGGTGTGGCTATATTCAGCCCTCACCATCAATTATTCACACAACAAGACTGATTCTTCTTCACTCGAAGCTAGCAGGGTTCTCGTAGGTGACACTCATTCACCTGTCATGATTTTTGTCATTTCAAATTATTCAAACAGCGCAGAGTTAAAGATGGGCTGATTGTGTGAAAATCACCCGTCGTATTTTTAGAAATGTGGCATCCGTCCCTCTGTGGAGAAAAAGCGTGATGACGGGTCCACAAATTAGCCTTTGTTTGTCTGTGCTCGCAAGCAGCGTGTCACCATATGTTGGCTAATAGTCCAACAAGTCTGGCTTTGTGCTCAAGCAACCAGATGGCCTGTGATAGAGACCCCAAACTGAAAAAAAAATGGAGACAAAAATAAGTTTAAATCCTACTCCCAAATTTTTTTTGTTTATTTTTAGCATTAATATCCCATAGACGGGTCCACAAATTAGCCTTTGTTTGTCTGTGCTAGCAAGCAGCGTGTCACCACATGTTGGCTAATAGACCAACAAGTCTGGCTTTGTGCTCAAGCTACCAGATGGCCTGTGATAGAGACCCCGAACTGAAAAAAAATGGAGACAAAAATACAACACACACCTTTATTTTTACTTTCTACTGTAACCGGTGGTGGTGTTCTTTTCCCAAATAAATAAAAATGAAATACCGGTAATCGTTTACTCAAAGTAAATCGTCCTAGCTGAAAAATGTCTTGTTGTTGTCAAGGTGAAGCCCACAATCAGAAAACCTGTTTGTCTGTTTTTAATAAATTAATTCTTGATCTAAAAATAGTCTTTTTCGCTGTGCATTATAATATTAATCACCGAAAAATAATATTTTTGTCTGTGTATTGTAGTGTATTTGCAACCCCACAAAAACCAATTATCTTACTTTTCATTTTTAATCTGAAAAAAAAGCACCTTTTTGTTGCGTATGACGCCTGCCAAAAATGTTTTTCTGTCTACTACTACTGAGTTTAAGATAAGATAAGATAAGAAAACCTTTAGCCAAGTTTTTTAACCACCTCAAACACGATTATTATGTCATTAGCTATTTTATCTTCATGCCCCCAAAAAACAAATACCTTTGGGAATTTAAATTTTTGATGCAGCAAAAAAATCTAAATATTTTTCTTAATATGTGCATTTTTCTTAATCCAACAAAAAAGTGATATTTTTTTCTATTTGATTCTAAATGCCTCTATTTTTTTTTCAGTTCAATTTTTTAACCTTGCAAACCACCAAACATATATTTTGGGGTGGATATTTTAATTTGAATTCCTGAAAAAAACCCATACCGGTATATTTTTTTCCTGTGTGTATTTTATCTTCAGTCTCTCATTCTTACTCCAATACCAATTGTTGCCGCTTCACGCTAAATCAGCGAACTTTATTCTAACCTGTTCTGTGACAAATTCACCTCAGAGGCTCCGTGCTTGTGTGCTCCTGTTTTGTTTAGCACTTGTGACAATCCAAATAACATAATACACAGGAAAATAATTACTCAGGTGTTTCTCGCCCTTAGGATTCTCCTCCACCCAATGCGTACAACATAAACAGGACACCAAAGGGCACAAGTGGTCACTTTGAAGCTCGGAGTAAAGAAGCCAGAAAACGACAAAGCAGCTTCCTGTCAGCGGCACCGCGACAAACTGCTTCCTTTCTAGGCTGTGTGCACACTGGACCAGGTATCCATCCATCCATCCATCCATCCATTCATTCCAAGGTGTTTATGGGTTTTTTTTTTTGATCCAGGGGCCACTATTCTGACAAAGAAGAAACCCCGACTGAACAACATATCTGGAACTTCACACAGAGTTGTGAAGTACATCACTGACATTTAATGCAGTCCTTTCTTTTGTAAATGTCCATGTTCCCTGTGCAGTCAAAGCTTTATCCGAGCAGCATGTAGCAGAATCTGAGTGGATTCCCCACCTCTTGTGTTGCTACCCTTTTTGTCACCACACACTGATGCATTGTGGCGCTGGCTGAACGTTGAAGGCCAGCGAATGCTTGCAATGTCTTCATGGATCGCTGGCTGAAAATCTCTGATCTATCCAGAACAGTCGCAGAAGCGGAAGTAGTACAGAGAGAGTACCACCCTTCGCTCTCCAATTAGCTCGCCATCTCGGCGGGCCTCCGAGCTAATATTGACTTCAATTACAGTCTCAATGAAGAAAATGTTGTTTCAAAATGAATAGATTCCTGACTTAGTTGGATAATTTATGACTTGGCCCGTTTCACCATGGGACTCAACCCATGAGGCGCCTCCAACCGTTTAACCAAATTCCAATTTGCATATAAATAGATTTGCACTGTTTGCTGTGCTGTTCACCCCCTACCCCCCACACCCCTCACACACATTTTGAAATGTGCTTCGTCTCGCACACATGCACAATTTTCTCCATTACTGAATTTGCATATATGAATAGGTCCACAGTGTATGGACCATTAGGGAACATTATAATCTTCATCATTCTAAAGGAAGCTAACTCTTGAAACACTGCACAGAAAGTCCCTGCAGGATGCCATATGTTGGCACAATTAGAATACTTGCATGGTGGTTACTACGTATGTATTGTTTCTTGTGGGCCATAACCTTTTAAATTCAGACGGCCCTATTTTTTGTGCTCAGCGCCAGTCAAGCGCAAAGTGCAGTCTAGCTTTGCGCATGGGTGGAGCTTTCTTGAGACATTTTTGTAGACAGGTGCTGTAGGAATGGCCATTTGCGCCGTTGTGGGACTGAACACAGCCAACTTGATTCCGGGCCGGTAGAAGCGGTTTCCCAATTCAGTGCCATCCAGGCAGTTGAAGGAAATACCAAGTTTTCTTAAAATGGAAACAAAAGTCCTTGCTGTCGAAAACTTATCAATGAAAAACTGAAGGAATATGTTGCACGTTTTGGGTGAACAGTCTCAGCAAATAGGCGGAGGGGGTTTCAGCACAGAGTCAACAGTTTTAAATGGTACGCGTGGGTTATGACAGTTAGCCTCAATTAGGTTTGTTGAATGTTCATTTTTGGCCTCTTTAACTGTTATCTGGTCGTTAGTCTTTTCTGAATTGATAAGATATCTGCAGCTTGTCTTTTTTTCCCCACTTGCATTCGGCTTTACGGCACTCTTGCTTATCTGCGCGAGTTCTGTCGTTAACATCTAAAATTACAGAAATTGTACTGCAGTATCCTCTTAGAAGTGTTCAATCTTATTCCCAAAATAAAATGCAATTATTGTTTGACTAGGTCCAGGCGAGTATAACCCAAGTGTGAGATGCTCCCCTCCAATGTGTCTGATGGCCTCTCGAGAAGAGCGCTTCAAAGAGAACACCAATACCAATCCAGGACCTGCCGATTACCAGGTACACTTCATACTTATTGTTTGTTATCACAGTATATATATCGTATGATGAACATACTATACCTTCACCTCAAAAATATAATATTGTGAGATGCGATCAAGCACTTGACGCAACTCTGACAAAAACAACAGTTCGCATCCATGCTCAATGCACTGGCGTTATCGCAGCGCTCTGGCGTTGCATCGCCTCCGAGCCTCTGCGTGAAAACAGTCGGAATAAACACGAAAGCCATCGATGAATATCATCGCCCATGTGAGACGTTCGCCTCAGTGTGACCAAGTCTCCTCGAGCAGCAGTCGTAATTGCCTTTTACAGGCTTCTTTATTTACATTACGTCAGATAGTGCCTCTGATGTCTTCTAATTTGTGTTCGGTGTCTGCAAATAGTCGCGTAATGCAAAAATGACACAAGTAAACACTTCTATTGAATGTGTATTTAATTTGATTTCAGAGTAGTTTGCTCAATATGGGATATATATATATATATATATATATATATATATATGAAGAAAATGAATAAAAAAAAATAAAAAAGTTATCCTATATTGTTTAACTGTACAGGAGAATGTTTATACAAACATTTTAAACATTCCCTACACTTTGATTGGCGTAAAAATAAGTGAATCATCCCTTTCAGTCAACTGTGGAAGGAAAAAAATCGAACAGTAAAATTCGCTTGTAAATTTGATTTATGAGTTAAATATTTATAGTGTGTGAGCGTTAAATAATTTTACTGAAATCCTTTTTCTGTTTCATTAAATCGTATTCATGTATTCCCAACAGTTCATTTTTTTGGTCCTTTTAGATTACAGCCTTGATGCGTTACCGTGTCATTTAATGTTTGGCCTTCAGAATCAGTTGCGTTGGACCATTTTAACTACATTAACAATGGGGTTGTTTCTTTAACCAAACCAATTTCAAATTTGTTCTCTCAAGGCCTGTAGCCATCCTTCAGTGGTATTATGTCGGCTAAGTCTCCATTGGAGGGCCAGCTCCCAAACACATGACCCTCCACTGCGCTATGCAAACACTCCACACAAGTAGTTGCTCGTGTGGTTTTTTTTTTGTTGTTTGTTTTTTTCCGTTTCACTTCAGATTGTCGGTCCTGATTGCTTTCTGATTGATCAGAGAGGAAATACCACAATTAACACACTCTACACCAGAGGATACTTGCAAAGGATCATCATTTAGAGACAAGCAGGCCTTTGCTGACTTTGATTGCATGAGAGAAAAAAAAATGCTCATGTTTGTCCCCATTTTCGGTACGCGGAAAAAAAAAAATCTCCCATTTCTCCCGATTATCGCTATGTGTGTATCCTGCTGTAGATATCATGACACGGAACAGCTGCCTTTTCATACGCCTCGTGCGGAAAGCATGCCGAAGCCCACGTCTCAGTAATTAGCTTCGTGACTGCGTCTACGTTTCGACACCACAGGACGTTCATTCGGCACAGGGATGAGACGAGGTGGCTGCGATGAGTGCGGCGTGAGGGATGGATGTGGAAAGGTGGGAGGAAGAAGGAGCGGAGCTGAACAAGGTTGTTAAAACTGCTGGCGAGCAGATGGCGGCGCAGGGGGAATTGTACCTATTTGAGCATTAGCATCAATGCGTGCTCATGTGCGCTCGTCTGTGAAAGTGGCTGTAATGTGCTATCGCTGCCTTCTTGAGCTGCATTAGCCCGCTGATGGAGCTCATTTGGGGACTCGGGCGCACCCTATGAGTCTCCTACTTCTGGAGAGTAGGCTTGATTACCTTTGCCCACGTACGACATCGCTCTTATTGGTTGGGCTTCATTTAACCGTGTGCGTGCGTGTGCGCGCTATACTTGAAAATGAAACGACTCGTGGATTAGTTGCGGAGCACAAACAAATGTGATTTAAAGGACGGATGTAAATCTTGAAAGCGTGGCTTTCATGTTCATTATCTGCAAACCTTCCTCTGTTCTCTCGATGCGCTGGCGCCACATGAGACTTTTCAGACCTTTAATGATTCCCATTGTCCGACTCTTCAGCTGAAGTTACACTGCTCGTGTTTCACTTTTAGAGATGTGCAATTCTACAGTACATTTAGTAGACCCTAATGGCACCTAATATCCAGGCAGGCGTGTAAAGGACATTCATATCATCACTAACCTTACACATCTTGTGAAATACAACCGCACTCTCCTCTGCCAGTGCTGAACTACAGTAAAACATATTTTTTATAATGGCGGGTATGTTCCATACAGCTTCTGGTGTGACGTATTAATTGCTTGTTGAACTGCATCAGTTGCTTTCCACGCAATAGTGTATTTGCATTTCGCACCCCTGTCCTACCTTTCCGGTATCCCCTTTCACAATGGCGCTTTCTCACCTCTGTTACATCTCTGATACGACCTTTGAAACCAGAAAATTGAGAAAATGACCCTATTCTGTATCAGTTCCATTTATACGGAATGGCGACAAGGGGGGTGGGAGTGGGGGTGTAAAAACGGCAACTTTTAGAGGCTAAACGGCACATAAACTCCAGTGAAAGAGTTTCCCTCGCTGAGAAATACTCCCGTGCCTTCTTGTGCTGAGAAAGTGAATCCGTGTTGCCCCAAAAGCTCACACGTGAGGCAATTATGGACGGCCAGATCCGGATAGAGCATGGGGCGTAATCCACTCTTCTTACCGGAGACAGCTTGATTCACCAGAGCCCAACACGCATGCTGAGAACGGAATCGGTGATTTCTAACATTGTGCGTTTAATGGTAAAATCCAAAAGTAATTGTCATATCTGTTCAGTTTATTGTTATTATGCGCGTATGTGTACAGAATTGTTCTTTAGCTTTAAAAGCCGCTGGCATGTTTTCGATGTCTTGAACTGCACCTGTGTGTGTGCTGTGGGAAAGACTCATGTACACGTCTGTGTTCCGACCCACTAACACCATTCCCCGCGTAGATCCCCCTTTTCCCTTTCCCCTCTCTGACCCAGCCAAACAGCCCATAAATCTCCCTCATCATTGCCATGCCGATGCTGTCGTCACTTCCAAAGGGGCTCTTAAGCATCCACCTCCAGTGCAACCCCTCCGAGGGTGACCCGGAGTTGAACCCGCAACCCTTTTCCCATCAGGATCAAGACGGAGATCTGAGCGCTCTGGCCTCTTGTGCCTAAATCCCCGCTACGACGTTTCGTGCATACTGATGATGTGCACCATCACCAAGAGGTCACAGTGGGTAGAAGCTGGGGAGAAGGTTTAGCAGTTTTGATAGCTCACAGGAAGTGGTTTGTCAAGCACTTCCTGGATGAGAGGAATACAGGATATGTGGCTGCGTTTGAAATCACTCTCTTTCCACGATAAAGGAAGTTTGCCATTTCGTCATGCTCTTTGAATTTATAGTGAGCATAAGTTATCCCCAACACAGTGCCCCCAATGTATCCCACAATGAATCTTGAGAAGATGGAGTAGCTTTTACTGAAGCAATGATCATATAAAATGGGTAATGGTGATGTAGTGCAAAAGTGAGTCCACAGATATTGTTTAACTTAATCATGAACCACTGTGAGACAAAAACAATAATTGTCATTTTAAAGCATAATGCTTCCTCTTTACACTTGTCTTACAAGTGTCAAAAGAATATTAATCACCGGCATCTTCTCTGTTTTGTGTTTGTGTACAGTTGAGTCCAGGCATCATGAACACAGTGCTGAAGGGAACATTTAACGCGACTCTCAACAATCCTCTGATGCATCGACCCCGCCTCGCTGCCCATCTTCTACAGGAATACAAGGCCAGTGATGCCGTTTCCCACCATACCTTTGCCGCCACCATTATATCTTAAATTAGGGAGGGTACACGCACCATTTAACTCTTACAGAGACGCCAAATATGACAAAGAAGAAATGGGGGGGAAGGTAGTTGTCGCAGCTGAAAAGTGAAAACATTTCAATCCACTTCCTCCTTATGTTGCGGGGTTGGAGGATGACATAAAAAAAGTGGCCAGCGACAACATCGCGGTCGTATTTTTCGCGATTTGCTACGATGGATATATGTTCCTTTACAAATTTGTATGCATCTCAGAGCTCGCTGCGGTGTATCTGCAACCTACAAGTCAAAATTACGGTAAATTTTTGTATGATAAACATGATTCTACTACATCAGGTATCAAACTGTGGTTGAGTTGCACCCAGGAAGCGGTGCAAACTCGTTTATCGTGTGCCATTCTTAGCCTCGAAATGTCAGGACTCCATGTACCCTGCTTTAGCAAAGCTCAAAGTCGAGCGGTGGATTAGGGAGATTGTTCCATTCCTCTTATGAAGATTTTCATTGGAATATGTCATAGATCACATTTAATTAATTACCCTGAATTTACACCTGCAGATTTGTCGCACTCGATTGGGGAAAAAAGAAAAAAATATATATTTCTTCTTAATGCTTGCAGGAAGCAGTTTGGATAATCTCTTCATTCACACTGACTATGTCAATTTACATCACTTTAGAAAATAAAAGACATTTGATTGAACTAAAATTCTCAAATGTTAAACATCTAATCTAAAAGCTGCAAGTTGGCTTTCGAGCATATTGCTTTGGTAGGCTTGTAGGACCTCCTGAGGGAGCATGTTTTATTTAATGACAAGTAGCTCAGAAGACAATTCGAGTGTGGAAAAAAAAAAAGCCATTAAAACACCTAAAGGTCCAAAGCCATATTTGCAGACTGGGCATAAATCACAGGGTCGTTCATTATGTAGAGTTCTGCTGACCAAAGTTGCATAGATGACTCATAACTCTTCACCAATGTGGTCTTTGCACGCTGATGAAATTAGCCTTTTAATTGACACTTCAAGCATTACAAAATTCCTATTTTCCCACTGAGAATAATGACCGTTGACATCAAATTGTTAGCGAAATAATACCAAAGATGAGACGCAGAATTTAAAAAAGGGCCTGCTCAAGTCAAACATGACACTTTAACATTCTTCTCTGTCATACAGGTGTATACATACTGTACACTACTCACAAAACAAGTTATATCCGTAACTTTCAGGTGAAATTTTAGAATCAACCAAAAATACAGTACACTCTCACAGGTGACCTTACTGGGAGTTTGTTGTGTCAACATTGCTCGAAAGATTATTGCCTTACTTTACAAAGCTCCCTACATGCTGCTAGTTGCTGACCAAAGCCACGCCCCTCGCTAACATCAACAAGCACAAATTTACAGAGAACACACATCAGCATCAACAAAATAGCTGGGTGAGCAATACAAAGCTAACATTAGCACTGTAACATGTTGGCGTTAGCCATGAATGCAACATTGGCATGACTTTCACTTTTTGCAAACTCCCCCATTAAATTAAAAGTTAAATACAACTGAACTGTACATGGTCACTGATTCTGTCGTGTACCACTAGGAGGGAGTCTGCGTACAACTCTTGTTACTCGTACCTTTTAGAACCGTTGCAAAGATATTGTAAATAAATGCAAGCCTGTGTACAAGTAGAGGGAAGATGAGAAAAGTCGACTAGTATTTACGCCTCCCTTGACAGTCGTCTTTACCTTTTATTTATTTATTTTTTTTATCCCTGCGAGCTGTTTTACCATCAGTGATCTAATTAAATGAAATAAATCAGGCGGTCACAGCCCCACCTGATTCCCGGACTATCTCCCGCACCCCCAACCAATTGTATAAATCTCCATTATGGCGCATTACGCGGCACATCACTCATGTTGTTTATTGGTGGGGAAAAATATGTAAACAGAGCTGGGCCCCGTAAAAAAGTGATGGATGCTCAAACGGGCACTCCGCCGCGTCAACGGGCCACGAAGCGACGTCTCGTGCGGGCTCAAAGACGAACGGTGTGTCGTCCTGACGCCCGGATTTCATTGTAGGCTTCTTTTTATGTCCTCATTTGCTAAAGGGCTCCGTCTCCGAGGCAGGGGCATTATTTAATCTAATCATCTTGACGCTCTCTCCCTCAATAGAGCTCTTGATAATTGTAAAATGGAGGTTAATCAGGGTTTTTTTTTTTTGTTTGTTTTTTATTGGTTAACAAACGCCAGACAGCTGCTGGAGTAGCCACTTAGGGAAGATGATTCTGTATGCAAATGAGCTTGACTTTACTAGGGGACAAAGCAATACAGATTTTTATTATGTCACTGTCAAATAAAAAAATGTTATTTTCCCTTTTTGTCCCAAAACAAGATCTACAAAAAATAATTAAATATATAAAAATCATTGACACAACAATAAATAAAGTTCTAATGAATACTAATGAATACATATTAGAACAGTGTGAATCAAGATAGATGTACACCTTAAAATCATATGATAATATTAACAGCGATAATCCAAATAAAAATCTGTAAGATATTAACTATGGTGTAAGATATTTTAAATTTGGAAAAACTGTTGTGTTTTATGTTTTCCTTTTTTCCCTTTTACTTCAAGGGAAATTCTCTGACATTTATTTCACACGTATTCTAAAATAAAAATCCAGAATATCGCAAATTTAGCATAATTCTTTCCGTGTGGCTTTTTCTATTATTTCATTGGAATGTATTCTTGACTTTTATGATCATTCTATTTTAATTCCCAATTTCTTACATATTTTGTAATTTAAATAACATTCTTTTTTGATTATAATGTTGATTTTGTGTTTTCATTAAACACCTGAATGTCATTCATTTTTACTTTCATCTTGAATTTTATACTTGTTCACACGTTCCATCATTCTACTCCGCCCCCTCGCGACGTCAACCCCCCACCCACACTGATTTGCTTGGAGAAAGACAAGCTTCAACTTCCTCGTCCATGATATTGTTTCTTGCATGAGGAGTGAAGGCCTCCTGATGATTTTCTTAGTATAGATGCCCACCGCTTGGTCCTCACCCACACGAGAACTCTGTCAAAAAGTGAAAGTCATCAGAGCTCAAAGTGCTTTAAAATCAATCCCCCCTCCTGCTGACCTTATAACGCGCGGCGTCAATACATGCAAATGAAAAGCTCTATACTTAGCCGCCCATCATCTGGAGGTGACAGGCACGAGGCAACGCCGCGGTGGGAAGCGAGATTAGCTGGTGTCTTTAATTAAAGGAGAGAATAACAGTACAGTCTAATGGGGGAAAGAGTCCATGCGGAGGTTAACGAGTGCTGACAAGGGCGAGCCAGACGAGAGCACAACAGTAAAGCGGATGTCAAATACATTTTTTACCCAACAGATGCTAACATAGACATGTCGCGAGACTCACTCAAGAGCGCCCCCTTGTTTTTTTTCGAGGGGGGGTGAAGCAGCTATTCTGTACGAATACCAGGGCTCTTTGACGAACTCCTACTACGGCCAAATGAGCCCCGATTGTTCGCTGCTATTCGAGACAGATGGACCCCCGCTAGATGGTGAAACTCATTTAGCTAATGTGGGCGGAACGAGGCATCAAAGTTTGACGATCATTTGCAGGGTTCGCCATCACGATTGGGAGTGCGGGGGCCTGTTCTGCTCTAATTTTAGTTTCACTGTGCAGCAGTTCACGTCGCTGACTGCTATGATAGCAGGTGTCTGCTGTCAACTGTTTGGTGATTGATGTCCCGCTTTTAGAGTGGCTCGTAAACAGGATGTGTTGTAAAAATACATGATTTATAACACTGGCTTTTAAGGGAGATGGTTAAAATGTCCTACCGTACACGTTTAGAAAGGTACAATAAAACTTAAATTTAATTCCACTCTGATTAAAATGGATAGAAGTATCTGACTTTTTAAGTGGGTTTTTTTTTTCTCCTCCAGAAATGTTTTTTCCTCGCTATATATTTTATACCAGATTTTTTTTGTCAAAGAAAATATTGAATATTTTTAAATGAAAACAAATATGCGAACTTTATCTTGACTTTACACCTTTTTTATTTATTTTTATGAAATAAAATACTTTGGGACCCCCCAAAAAACAAGAAAAAACTTCCCACCTCCTCTTAAATATTAGATGTTGTTTCCCTCCCCCCAAACAAAATGACAAATTTCTTTTCAGGAAATATCCATCCATCCATCCATCCATTTTTGAATGTGCTTATCCTCACGAGGGTCACGGTCATGTTTGGAGCCTCTCCCAACAGTCTTTGGGCAGCAGGCAGGGAACACCCTGAACAGTGCACACATTGACGAACAACCATTCGCGCTCGCAATCACACCTTGTGAGTACCTGGAGAAAACCTGCACCTCTGCACTGTGAGGTGGACCTGCTAACCACCTGACTACGCTGCAGCCTCCAGGAAATCAATTTTTTTCTCCCATTTTACTCTCTTTCTGGAAATATATAGTTTATTCAAAAATCGTCACCTCTTCTCTGTTATGCAACATCTGTCAGTGAAAATACATTTTCAATATATATTTTTTTCTTGAACAATTACATGTAGTTTTGAAAATATCTGCCTTCTTTGCTGAAAATATTGATACGGTGGAATAGAATATTACCGATGAAAGGGTACCCTTTAATTTGTTTTTCACTGCCTGTTGTTTGTCAAAAAAAAATCGGTTGGCAGTCTGTGCACATGACTTTGACGCACACCCACACACCGGAGCTTTCCCACCTGTGTCTTATATTGTGACATATTGAATCCATCCCAAAGCTGTGTTTGCGCCAGTCGCCGCTCGGGACCCGGCGGCCACTCATCCATCTTGTCTCTCTTTGCTTTGGGGCACCACCACTACGTTGATCCTGATTGGCAGTCATTATGCGAAGCCCCCCCCCCCCCGCCCCTCCACCAGTCCCCTGTGGGCGCACACGCATCATTGGTTCAGAGCAGATTTGCGGGCGGGTCCAGATGATGGAGGAGGACGATGAGGAGGGTAGTATGCATGCGTGTTTTATTGATGGGACGCAGTTGCACTCTGCTTCAGTGGCACTTGGGGTGTCGGAAAAGCTGAGCTGCATTGTATTTGTTTATACTGGGTCGATAGATAGAGTGAAAGAAAATTCTACTAAATAGCAACACCGTGGCCCCGAACCTAAAATTTAAGATCACCGGCATAAAGAGTTCGGAGTACACACTGTATGGAAAGGTACTTGCAATTTGAATATTCCCATTTCCTCTCATTTTCACCATATGATTGCATAAATTTATATTAAGTCAGCAATGTTTTACATTCAAATTTTATTGCGCACGATAACCAAGACCTGCCTCGTTTTACACATTAGCCAATCAGAGTGATCATTCGCCTGCTGCCCTATCTATCTATCTTTCTATCGAGAGAGAGAGAGATAATAAATGTTTGCTGCATCTACGAAAGAATAGCGCTAGCTTGTAAACTGTGATAAACAGAGTAAAATGTTCAACTGAAATAATTTTTTCCACTTTTGTTTTGTTTTGTTTTTTTTTGGGGGGGGGATCATTTAAGTGTGAATTACTTTTGATGTTTGAATGCACTTTTTCTGCCCGTACCATTCAGAATGTCTGCATGTGGTCTGTGTGTGCACTTCTTTCCTTGGCGTTTTAAGTATGGTGAGCCACTTTAAATGGAAATATACTTGACATTTAGGAGGAGATGTAATCAGCGTCCATTAGAAAGCAGCTGATTTCCTCCTCGGAGCTCCCACTGCCTTCACCAGCCACCACCCCACCCCACCTTCCCTCCCTCCCTGCCACTCCATCTATTTTCCATCCCTCTCGTCAGTATATCATTTCTTCCTCACTCTTGTGATTTATTTCTTTTCCGCCCGTACACCGCTGCCAGCTCCTCTGTCTCCTTTTCAATTGGATTTACCTGTACGCTCTCCTCCACCTCCTCCTCCCATCGCTCCTTTTTACCGTCTTTTCCTAACGCCCCCGCCGGGGCGTCGTAGCTGAAGAATAGACGTCTGATTTCATTTCCATGTTTTTCCTCGACGTCATTACCGAGGCTCATTGTCGAAAACACGGCGGCGTCCTTGTATAGGGGCAAATCATGCAAAGTAGTGAATCATCGGCGGTGGTGTTGGGGGGAGGGCTACATTGTGATTTAAAAGGAAGCATACAAACAAATCCGCAATGATTGATGTTGAAACTCGGCTGTGAGTCAGGACCCCTCGGTGTATTGGAGTAGTTGATGACTTGATTACGCCATGCGCTTGCTGTAGATTGGTTGTCTTCTCTGACGTACTTCTGCCTAGGATTGGGGATATGAAAACACAAAACGGATCATAGGAGATTTACTAAGTAAGAAAGAAAAATCCCTCACTGTCTTGTAAGAGGGTATTCCATTCCTGTGGGGATGACACCACCAAATTTGTACCCAAGTTGGGATCTCTAACCTGGTGTTTCCCTACCTTTACATGTTAAGACAAGACCCATACGGGATTTTCCATTGGAAGAATCTCGCAGCACACAACAAAACAACAAATATTGTACTAACATTTATTGAAACCATCATGTCATCCATCTGTAGTTATGCTAGTTATTGCAGCATACGCAGGGGAGTCTGCTCACCGGTTTAATGGGTTTATGGGTGACATTCTGCATTAGTACCCATGGTACAAACACAATGGCTTCCAAGAGGCTGTTTCTCACGTGAATTGTTGGCAAATTGGAGCACACTAAATTTCCCGTACGCCATGATATTGCGCGCGGTTACAAATACGGCATTAACGACATTAACGAGTGAATGGTTTTAAATTGGATGTTCGTAATTCGGGTATCTCCTGTATAGCGGAAGTAACGCTTGACAGTAAAATTGTTAATTTCAGTTGAAAACAGAGGGTAAGTTTGCCCAACATGGCGGCTGCCTGAGATTGATGAACAAATTCTGGTTATTACATGACTGCAATAACAATTCAGAATACCATCTTTTGACAAGTCGTATTGCATACTTTGTATTGTTGCATTAAAAAAAAAAAAAAGTCGTACCCGCATTTTATTTCATTTTTTGTTGTTTTAAAAAAAAAAAAAAAAAAAAAAGAAATACAATTGCCGTTTAGTTGTCCGTTAACCTGAGAATTGGCATTTTAGAAACTCTTTCCGATGTTCATATTCCGGTTGTAGCACTGGTTAATCTGGTTGAGTGAGTTGTGTGGAATGGAATACAAATTGAACGGGAGGGATGCGGCGAGGTTAGGAAGGTCGGCGAGGGCCGGCTAGAGCAAAAACATCAAGTATCTGCAAAGTAGACTTTGAGAAGGAAGAAGCATGCTGCCCTTTTGGCCTCAGTAAACATGAAAATAAACTGGTCGATAAAGCGTGTTCTTTAAAAGCTTCTTCTGTGAATAGAAATTTGTCATCTGTTGCCGTTCCGTCAGTGAACTCTCCACATCCACAAGTGACACGGCTGTCACTTTTCCCCCACCGATGGAACGATAATTATGCGCCCCCGCAAGCATAACGTGACGCACTCGGAAAAAGAAATGTGAAGTTGAAGTTAATCTATTTCTCC